GGAGGAGGAGGAGGAGGAGGAGGAAGACGAGAGAATATAAGCGACGAGGAGGAGGAGGTGGAGGAGGAGGAGGAGGAGGAGGAGGATACCCCCTCGTCTCGACGTCCTGCTGGCTGGCAGGTCCCCCACCTACAGCCCCGAGAGGCTGGTCCTCGCGGCCTGACCGCGTGGGCTCGGCGAGGCCCTTCCTCCATCCCTCCCTCCATCCTCCCTCCACCCTCCTCCTCCCTCCTCCCTCCCTCCATTCCTCCCTCCCTCATCCTCCTCCTCACGTCCTCCTCCTCCTCCGCCTCCTCTTCTTCATCCTCCTACTCCTCCTCCGCCTCCCCACCCCCCCTTTGAGGGGCAGCGGAGTTTGCTCTTTCCCTGTCCGGTGTGTTGCCGCTGTCGGTTCTCATCTCGGATCGTCTTGCCTTTATTGTATCCGTTTTTCCCCCTCTTCGTTCCTTTCCTTCCTCCTCATCATCATCATCATCCTAATCCCTCCTCTTCTTCCTCCCCCATACATCCATCATCCTCCTCATCATCATCATCACCAGCATCAGCAGCAGCATCAGCATCAACCATTACAACCACCATCATCGTATGCTGCATTATCATATGCACCATCACCGTCATTATCAACAACAGCAGCAGCAGCATCACTTCCCAAATCATCAGCAGCCGCAGCAGCCTCGTCATCAGCAGCATCGTCATCACCATCATTATCAACAACATCATCACCACAACCATCATCATCAGCATCATTATAAATGTCGTCATCCTCGGCATCATCATCAGCGATACCAAATAATATCCGTGTATACATATATATATGAGTGTACAGATGTTGCTTGCACATGTGTATAGCCCTGTCCCTCCTAATCATAAGGTTCCTCGTGCGATTCATCTTCATCCTCGTTATATCTCTCCTCCGTCGTCTCCTCCTTGCCCATCATCATCCTCTTCCATATCCATCATAATCCTAATTCTCAGCATCCTCGCTCCGCTCACCCTACTCATCCTCATCTTCCGCCATTCCCACCCCGCTCCTGGTATCCCTACCCATCATCCTCCTGATGATGCGCTGGGGGCCGGCACTACCAGCCTCGCCATCTTGCAAAGCGCGCCAAAAGAGTTATGATTCATCTTACTCGTTCGAACTAGCGTGCAAGGCCCACGCCGCAGCCTGCGCCTGTTCAAGCGGCGGCGCGAGCTTCACGGCGGGCTCCCTCCCCGGGTCGACTCCGAGATGGTGACGGATAGCGACGAGCATCTCGGCAAGGCCAGCATCGGCCAACATCGATAGGATTGCTTCCCTCTGGAGCCAGCTCCTGGGCGCGCCGGTGGCGCGAGGGGCGCTGCGCTCGCGGGCGGCCGCCGCTCCACGTCGGGAAGTCTGCCCGCATCGCGGCTCTCGAAGTGAGGCGTGTCAGCAGGGGCCTCGCCTTCGAGGGGCCGAGAGGTTGACGCCTCCTCCCCGGCGGAAAGCGGCGGAAGGCTGGCGCAAGGCCAGCGACAGCCGGCGGAAGTAAGAGATGCTTGCCCAAGAGATGGCAACGTCGAGGATTCGCAGCTTCTGGAACCTGCCAAGTCGCGCTGCACCCGCCGCAGCTGCACCTGCCCCGGGCGGCTATGGCAGTGCCTCTGCTCGCCTGCCTGGCCGAGGCCCTGGCCTGTCTGCAGTCTGGGGCTCCTCGGCACACTGCTGGTCTGGCCAGCTCGGCCCGTGGCACGCAGTCTGTGGCTCGATCGGTGGAAGCGCGGCCAGGGCTGAGCTGCTGCCCCACCTGGCTCCAGCCGCAGGCCACCCCAGACCTTCCAGCGGAGTCGCCGAAAGCGTCGCACCGCTCATCCGCGCTGACGCCCTCGTCCCTGTCATGCTGCACGGCGTGGAGGTTGGCCGCGACGCGCGCGGGCGCAACAGGGTTCCGTCAGAATCGGCGCACCAGGGGTGTGCCTGCCGAGTTTGTTATCAAGTCCTTGTTCCGGCAGCGGCTGCAGCCGAGAGTTGTCTCTTTGAGTTCGATGTCGAGAGGGCAGCACAGACCCAGCGGGCGTGCTCTTGGGCCTCGACTTTCTTGTGTCAGTCAAGGAGGGGCCTCCGGCTTGTACCGATGAAGTTTGTGGGTGCACGGAGCGTACAGATCCTCACGATGCGATCCATCCACGTGGCGTGGCCTGTTTGGGTCTGAAGAAGGCCTTTCGGGCCCCTGCGGGGCGGAAGTGGCCGCGACATGGGCGTTCTCGCCCATGCGTGCGGCCACGCCCAGACAGCGTGGACGCATGGCACGAACGGCGCGTGCCTTGGGGTGCTGGCCTGTGCTCGTCGCTGTTCGTTTGGCCCCCAGGGTCCTGGCCAGTATCTGCTCGTTGTTCTTGCAGCCTCTAGGGCTCCTCTCGCTCCCCAGGAGCTCTGCGACCTGATAAACACCCATCACCGCCTCGGTCCCAAGGGACCCACGCAGTGGGCAGCCGTGTCCGATCTGAATGGCCAATAGTCGATAGGAGCAGGGCCCTCGAGCGGGCCCAAGACTGAGACAAGTCATTCCGGAGCGTTCCAAAACACTCTCAGAGCGTTGCGGAGCGCTCTGGAACGGCCGCGGCGCCCGACACATCCTCCACAACCGCCGGCTCTCCGAGATCCCCGACGTGTCCCGGCCCGATCTTGTTTTGGTACCAACCTCGTCTTAGTGGAGGTCCTCGCCGCCGTCCAGCTTCCAGCGTTCTGCTGCGCTTCGCGTGGCTCGGTGAGTGCGCCAGCCCTGGCCGAGGGGCGACCTCCGCTTGGCGCGCTTGCGGCGCCGATCGCAGCGCGGCAGGCTGACTCGGGGCCAACCCGCCAGCCTCGCACGCAGCGCGCGGTCTCTCCCCGTTGCGCTCGGCGGAGGCGGCGCCCTGGGTCCTTGGCGTCGTCTTGGCATCGCTCGGACGTGTGCACGCCTTCTCGGCGAGGACCATCGAGGCGCATCTTGGATCATCTCGCGAAAAATCAACGCAGTGATCCGAAAAATGCACGGGGAACGGACGTCCGAGTGATGGCAAGTCCTCGAGGTCGGCTTACGCCGGCCGCTGCCTGGCTGGCGGAGCCTCCGCCGGGCGCGCTGCTGCTTGCCCTGCGTGGCCTCGCGGCGCAGCTGCCCGCGCCGGCGGCTGGCCACCCCTGGCGCTCGCTGGCTGCAAGAGCGCGGCAGCGGCCGCTGACCACCCCGCCAGAGCACCTGAGCCGCGCCCTCTGGACCCTAAAGTTGCCCTATAGCTGGGCCCCCCCTGGCGTCTGCGGCTCGCACGGGCTCTCCGCTGGGCTCGGCGGTCGCCAGGCGGTCTTTTGCGGCGCCCGCTTTGCCGAGCTGGCCTCGAAGCTCGCCAGGGCCCCTGCCTTGCTGCCGCCCCGTTGGTGCTGTTGTTTGGCGGCGGCGTGCGCAGCCAGCTTTTGCTTTCAGATCGGTCGCGCGGGGGCCATTGGACTGGTATCTTCGGTCGCGAGGTCCGCCGCCGCATGCCGCAACGCGATCCGGCGCGCTGCCCCAGCTAGCCCGCGGAGCAGCGCCAGCGCGAACTCCCCCTCCTCTTTCTCATTATATTTTCAGCCTCTGCCTCCACTTCCTCCTCCGCCTCCTCCTCCTCCATGTTGTTCCTTCTCCCTCTTCCTCTCTCTCTCTCTCTCTCTCTTTCTCTCTCTCTCTCTCTCTCTCTCTCTCTCTCTCTCTCTCTCTATATATATATGTCTTCCTTCTTTGCATCATGATCATACTCATCTTCCTTCTCCACCCTCCTTCCCCCAAAACCCGACACCATGCCCACCCCCCGTTGTTCATCCCCCCGCGCTTGTGGGCTGCTGAGGGCGTCTAGCGGATCGCCGAAGGCGTGGGACGCCCTCCGCTCCCTCCTAGAGAGGGCAGGAGCCCAGCACCACCTACTACGGGTGGAGCTGAGCACCCTGTTGCCAGGAACGTTCACACGACGATCGCGCAGCTTATCGGAGGTCGCACATGATATGCCTACACCGATGCTGGCCAAGCCGATCCTGGGCCCTGGAAAAGCCCGGCCAGGATCGGCGGACGGTGTATGTGATGGCGTCCCCCTGGTCTAGGCCAGCACATCCGCGCAGTTCCCCGGAGCATCGTGGGACGAAACAGCGGAGTGGACGCTGCGGATCGGGAGAGAGCTCCCTCTGAAAAATGCCGCCGCCGAGCCTTCAGGCCCGCTCCCGAGGAAGAGGGTGGAGGGGGGGGAAGACGAGGGAGGACGACGACGAGAAAAATGAAGAAGAACAGGGGAAGGGAGGGGCCGAAGAGGGAGGAGCAGCAGCAGCAGCAGCAGCAGGATGAGGAGGACGAGAATAACAGGAGCCCGCTCGCACGCAATCATCATTCAAAATGCCCCTTCTCGCAGATGTTCCTAACGCGACGCAGCAATTAGTTTGAACATCTTGGCGTGCCACCGCAATCGCAACCTGACTCGTCAGCATTGGGTCCCCTTCTTGCAGCCTGCATGTGAGCAAGCAAAGCTCCACATGTGACGGAAGTGCAGGTACGCTCGTCAGACGTTTTCAGCGGCCCTTGGACAGGTGGTCAGAAGCATGTGAGCATTGTGGGTCAGCGACTAGGAACTATCTTGGCCCCGAGCAGATACACCATCGCTCAAGGTTATAGCGTTTCGTAACAAGTTCTGCGCAAATGCGTACGATGGGAAGCATTATGTGGCGAGACAGTGATTTGAGCATAGCCTGTGTTGTTGGGTCGGCAAGTGATGGGAGTATTCTCGTAGGCACATACGTAGGACTTATGTCATGAACATGAACACTCCCATGTGTGTGCCGATTTCGTATGATCCAAGTTTGCGTCTGGAGTTGACCGTGCGAGAAGAGCATGCACATGTCACGGAGACAGAGAAGCTGATTGTTGTTGCGTTCGCATCGCATTTCCTGCACTACCGTTCCTCGAGAATATGTCATTGCTTTCTGCTGAGCCTCCCTTGAAGACGGGCTATTTCCAGCTGGCAGAGATTGGAAATGGCAGGAGGAGGGCCTCGTGGAAGACGGCGGCAGCTACCACCCCTCTCAAGTATACCGCCGTGGCCTCAGCAGAATATTGTTGCGCCACCTGCTCATCACCTGCCTCCTCCCCGATGCTTTTTCCCACTTGCATGTACCGGAGAGGTCTGCCCAGCCGAATTTGGAACTCCAGGAGTGCAAGCTTGGGGGCGAGAGGCGAGAGGGAGTTCCCCACACCGATCAAGAGGGTTTCTCTAGATGGCGCCCTTAGAAAGACCTTCCGCCACATTTGCGTAAGTGTGCGCGCACGTCTGCGGTACATAATTCATGCCGTCTGCCAGTCGATACACATACGCGCACACGCTTGTAGGGTGAATGCATGTGGATACTCGCGCTTGTATATACGCATTTACGCGTATGTACATACCCCTGGAACGTCGCTTGTGTAGGAAACGAAGACAACGAAGTTGCATCTTGCCTATCCTACGCTGCACCCCTGGGAGCAGGGAGGAAGGAGCAAGGAGGAGGAAAAGAAGGAGGAGGAGGAGCAAGGAGGAGGAAGTGGAGGAAGAGGAAGAGGTGAGAGGATCGGAAGTGCAAGGAGGACAACAGGAGGATGAGGGCAGGAGGAGGAGGAGGAGGAGTGGAGATGAGGATGAGAGAATGAGGATGAGGAGGACCAGGCACGACGGGTGCGCAACGCAGAAAGGAGGAAGGAGGAGGAGGAAGGCAGAAGGAGGAGGGGGAAGGAGGAGGAGAAAGAGGAGGAGATTCGATATCCTAGAAGTCCCGCAGGGGCGCGAGGACAGTCGTGCTTCGCGCCCCCGCGGCCTGGGCCCCAGAGGGGGCCGCCCTCCTGTGGGGGGGGGGGGGCAGGGGGCGCGCTGCGCGAGGGCGCCAGGGCAACCGCGCCCCTCGCGCACCGCAGCTGGCGAGCTCGGAGGCCCACCAGTCGGGAACACTGACCCGGCGTGTCGCGCCGCCGGTCCTGGCCCACCACGCCTCGTCGCCACACGCTGACCACGTCCGGGTCCCCCAGGCGTCCACGTCCTGAGCTCTTCTCGGCCTCCCGCCCGCGGAGCGGAGCGACACGCTGCCAGCTCGCAGGGCATGGCGTGTCGCCGAGGCCGCCGCCGCGACACGCTAAACAGAAGCTCCTGCACCTGAAGTAGCCAGCCCTGGCGCGAGCTGGTCACACGAAGCGGGCACGAAGCGAACCACGGAAGTGGACAGCAGCGACGTGAGCGGAGAACGAATCGTTCGGAGGATGTAATTGCTGGGCCGCAGCCGAGCCAATTGCACACCAAACAGGCAAGAGGAAAGAAGGGCTTCATGCACGGGTCTGTCTTTCCAGCGCTCGGCCACCGGTATGGCCAGGCACGCTGGGCTACCGCGCGCGTGGTTTTCGCGCCTTCTGCGTGTACATCCAGATTTCTGAATTCCGACATAGTTTTCCCAACGTTATTCTTCTTAATCGTCATCATCATTAGCATCAGCAGCAGCAGCATCAGCATCATGTTTGTCCTTATTGTTTTCCTCTTCCTCTTCTGCCCCCTGATTAGCATCGTCATGCCCTGGTCCATGACCCGTTCGTTCTCTAGATGGCCGTGGCCGCATTCCGTATTCCTTACCGTCCTCATCCTCTTGTTCCTCACTCTTCCGCCTTCTCCTGCCTTCCATTCCCTTCCCCCCCTCGTTTGACAACAGAAGCGGGGAAGAGCGGGGAAGAGGGCTTGTTCCCTCGTCATCAGAATACTTCCCCTCTTCCTCTCGTTCCCTCTCTCGATCCTCTGCTTCCTCGTGTTCCTGTTGCACAGCACTCTCGCGAAGATGGATTGCTCGTAGTTCCTCTGCCGGGCGAAATGCTTCCGTGCGCAGTGCGACGTCATCTTCGTTGCCAGTACCATTTTCGGCATCAGCATCGTACTTCCTCAACACATGTTTGGGAAACACTGGTCAAGGGCGAGGGTGTGGCTTCCTTCCGACATCTCAGCAGGTCGGGGCCACGGACATGAGGACCAGCCTGGCAGCCATCCTTGTGATATTTGGAGGTTTGGATAATGGTTTCTTATAGGCGTGATACGGTCAGGAATGTATGCTTAGTGTGTCGCTGCGCTGGTTCTGGCCCGAAAGTCTTCGGCGCGACTCACTAATCACGTCTTGGCCCCCAGGCGTCAGCTTCCCGAGCCTTTCCCAGCCTCCGGTCCCGCGGAGCCACGTTGGGCGATGCGAGAATGTCGCGTCGGTGTCCGATCCCATCACCTCCTGTTCTCGCCCCGTCGCCCCTGACTCCTCCCGCGGCTGAGGCCATGGCATACGACACGTGGACATGTTCGTGAACGACACCAAGGGGTCATTGCCAAGTGTTGAGGCCCCGCGCAGCCTTTGCGCGGGACCGCTCGGATTCCTTATGGGATGCATGCTACAAGGCGTTACGAGGATTACTTACAGTAACACTAAGTGTTTCCCGACCTTGGCTTTACTACCGCTACTTGGAATTATGCCCGTTGCTATGATTCGGTTCATTGCTGGCGCTACTGCATTGCTGTCCTTCTCGCCCCGCTCCGTAGCGGATCCCCTCTCTAGAAGTTGTTGGCACGATTAGTAGAGGAGGGGAGTTTGCTATTCTTTCCAGGCCGATCCTGGCCTACGGCCTGGGCGCAACCCGTTCCTAAATTACTGTTGGCGGCAAGACAGAGCAATGCAAACTAAAGCAAGACAAAGCAATGCACAACAATGCCAAGCAATGCAAAGCAACGGGAAAGAATGCAAAGCAGCGCAAAGCAATCTACGTGGTGAAATCTAGCGGCGGCGACGAAACAGCAACAAAACAGCAACAGCAACAGGAATTTAAGATTGTTCGCTCTTCCTTGCTCGCGGGCCATTCAAGACGTAAATCCCAAACCCTCGACACCCGCCCTCTTCGTCTTCGACCGTAGCCCCCTGGGAGTATATATCTTCCTTACCTGCAACGTGTATTTCGTGCGGCCCCTGAGGCAGGGGAGGAGAGGACGGATGGAAAGAGGGGACAAGAGGAGGGAGGAGGATGGAGCACGAGAGAGACTAGCAGGAGGGGGGCTAGCAGCAGAAACACATGGCAGAACCAGACGGGCAGATCGGGCGGGTAGACCCTAACAGGCGGGTCGGGAAGGAGGGCCCAGGCGGCCAGGTCGAGCACGCGGGTTGTTCAAGCGTGCGTCCTGCATGAATCGCGAGGAAGTCGCGAGCGACAGCGCGATTCCCAAATAAATCACAGGGAAATCCACAGCGAGTGCGTGACTCCTGAGTGTCGAGGGCGCGACGTTTGAATCAATTGCGAGGGAGTCCCACGCGAGAGCGCGATGTGGGAATCAATTGTGAGGAAGTATCAGGCGGGAGCCGCTGTTGTTGTAAACCAGAGGGCCAACAGCACAATTCTGATACCCAAGATTCCACCTGATAGAAAAAACAGGGTGCGAGCCTCGGGAAAAGGCACTTCAATTGCAAAAACAGCATGTACCCCAGAGGGGGGGGGATCAACAATTATTTGTCATTCGGGATGGGAATTCTGCAGCAGCAACAACAACAATCATGTTAAGACTGTTCACTCTGATCTGCTCACGTGCCCAGCAATCGGAGGTTGGGGGGTGAGATCGCAGTGAAAAGGAGACCCCGCACCGGTAAATCGGTTTCGGTTTCGTGTTCGTGTCGTGCGTGTGGGCGAGGCGAAGCTGCGCGTGATCCTCCTGCCGCATGCAGCCTGTGCCACTGGGGCCTTCGGTGGAGCTCCTTGTGGGGCCACGAACCGTGTGAGCGGTGTGCCAAAATGGGTGCGTCCCCGCATGCGGCCTGTGCCACTGGGGCCTTCGGTGGAGCTCCCTGTGGGGCCACCAACCGTGTGAGGGGTGGGGTGTGCCGACATGATGGACACGCAGAGAGCAGAGGCAAGGAGGGGGAGGAGAGGGGAGGGGGCAGCGGGAGGAGGAGGAGGAGGAGGAGGTGACGCGGGGCGCTGTCTTTTCAAAACGAGGACCTTACACCACAGGATGGTTGGAAAAATACAATGTGCGCCGGAGGGGGGGATCAACCATAATTATCCTTCAGTAATGAGAGTTCAGCAACATAGCCGCCAGACCGACACGCAGGCCCAGACGACGGGCGGCGACGGGGCGGCGACTTCGGCTACATAGCCGCTGGACCAACACGTAGGCCCAAACGACGGGCGGCGACGAGGCGGCGATGGGGCGGCGACGGCGGCTGCATAGCCGCCGGACCGGCACGCAGGCCCAGTTCCCTAAAAAACAAATGTTTAAGCGCAAGCATTGTTTGGAGAATCTGTATATGTACAAATATTTGTATATACACATACTCACGTATGAATTAGAGCGCTCAGTCATTGACATTGATATAAGAAGGGGCGCAAAGATGGATGGCAGGTGGGACGCTTGGAGACACGCGTCACATTGGACGCGAATCCCGCCCAAAAACTTGGTGTCGGCAGCATGCCAGTCTACCATGTAAAACTCCGCCTCGCCACCAGCATCATCGGTATCCATCCCACTCTTTCCCACGACGGTTAATCAGGTGTCAGATGTCTGCCCATGCTGTTTCCAATTGTGAAGGTCATCTGGCAATTCTTAGACCTGGCGCGCCAGATGGGCCTCTTGAAGGATGCGACGGGGAGGGGAAGGAGGAGGTGGGTAAGGACGAGCCAGCGCAGCAGAAAGACGAGGGAGAAGGAGGTGGAGGAGGAGGAGGAGGAAGAAGAGGAGGAAGAGGAGGAAGAGGAGAAGGAGAAGGTAGGGGAGGAAGAGGGAGGAGGACAGAGATAGGAATGAGGAGGAAGTTCTGCTGCACTTGCGTTTGCACCGCTAGTTGGTCGCGGACGGCTCAATCTAAGCCCAAGTGCATTGTGAAGGAGAAACCAGCAAGTCGGACGATGTGCATCTTCCCCCCGCTGCTTCTCATCGTCTACCTCCGTTGGTTTATTATCCTCCTCATCCTTCTCCTCCGCCTCGTGGTCGAGCCCAGCAGTGGACTCGCATATCGAATGCGTGGGTTCCCACGTGCACTCTCTCAGTTTCCCTTTTTTTTCTCTCTCTCTCTCTGCGAATGGTGCCGTAGTTGCGGGCCCAAGGCTCTTTTAAAGAAGGAGGCGAAGCGTTTCGGCAGATGTGAAAGTCAGAACTTGCGGCCGAGCCCCCAGATAAGTAGGAGCACCTTCAGCTTTTAGATGTGTTGTCCCACCAAGGACGTTGGGGCGGCTTACAAGATTTCCAATCATATCCGCCATTACAAACGACAGAGTTTACATGCGGCGCTTTGATTCTCCGTCGGACAGCAGCTTGATAGTGATGATGACTGCCATTGGACCGTGATTCCCAATT